CACAGATTCTGTGCCACAGTTATAAATTGCTTCTGTTAAAAAATCTGACAAATGATCCACTTTAGCAAAGTTCAGAACATTTTTCCTGAAGTCCAAGTTCCAAAAAAAAGAAAAAAAAAATCCCCTGTCAAGCCAGATGATTGATTTCGGTGTGAAAAATTGCTTGTAAGTAACAACATCCTCTGCTTGCGTTAGTGAAAACAGATGCAGGAAGTGCCCTCTTTCGGCAATATCTGCTACATTTGATCAGCTTGTCCTCTAATTTAAAGCACATGAGTCGGTGCTTTAGGAGCAACGTGCAAAATGACAAAATCCTTCCTCGAGAAGTTCTGGAAATCCTCTTCAGGTTCTGATATCTGTGCAGACTGCCGTCTGCATTTGTGTCTGGTTTTGTGCGCGTGTTTCTGTGCATGTGTGCGAAGAGGCTGAGGTAAAGAGAGGGGTCTGGGTTGCACATGCTTCATTTAGACATCAAAGGCCTTTGCTGATGATTTTTCCTTATAAACCATGCCTTTTGGTGCCTCTGCTCTCTCCATCTGAATAAACAAAGCCCAAATGGGTTGTCTGGGAATAGTCAGGTGATTGCAGCACGTGATATTTGAAGTAAATCGATATATCTCTAATTTATTCCACTAAAAAACCCCTTTCAGCGTCTCTTTTATGTTGTTTCTGAGAAACATTCTGGTTTTTTCAAGAGATTTCAAAGTGGTATTTGGAGATGTAACAGAGCTCATCTGCTGCTCTTTGAAAATGAAAGCGGCACCTATCACAAAAATAATCTCAGCCCCTTTTTTTATCTCAAGGAGCAAACATGTAGAATATGTAAGTCTCTCACTGCGAGGAGCAAACTCTGCTTGGCTTTCTTTTGATATGGAGAAATCAATACTGCATGAAATGCTCTGCCTCTGTATTCCCAGCTGACTATTATTCCTTCCCACCCAAAACAGCAGATATTACCCACCATCATTTAGCAAACCCCCGACGCAAGCCACCGCCTGACCCCTTCCTTTCTCCGCCTGCCAATGTCCAAGCGGGACTCCGATGCCAGAGGCCTGTTGGCAGCCTCCCGGCCTGAAATATATCTGCAGGAGCAGCATTCCTCTGGGGCTGGCCTGGATCAAATGGCAGCGATTTCCCAAACAGAGGCAGAGAGATGGGAGGCTTGACCCGTCCTCTGATCTGCAGCGCGCTCTAATCGCTGCAGGTCAGAGCGGATAAATAGTGAGGCTGAACTTCGGACCTGATTGGCAGATGGAGATCCAGTAGAGGAGCATATTTTTATTAAATCATCTAATGGTGTTTTTTTTTTTTTTTTTTAAGTATTTTTCCGCTGTGGTATGAATTAAGGTACTTTTCTACATAAGTGGCTGCAAATCTATCCAGAGAACCTGGAGAAAATGCACATTTTAAATATGCTCATGTAAAAAGCGCAGAAGCAATTAGAATCAGTTGTCATCAAGCTAATTTGTCTTTCAGAAACTGATGTAAAATGTTAGTTAGAATGGGGAATGTATATATTAAAGATCCTGGAAAGATTCCAGATTTCACCATTAGGCTCCTATCATCTGTGCTTCTAGTCAAGTTGATGGTTTAACAACAAGAATAAGAAAGAAAATAAAAGATAAACCAACAAACAGACTGAAGCTTAACCCAACAAAACCATAAGTCTGTATTTACAACCTTCCCCCATCAGCAGTTTGTCCAGACGTTGCGCGTACACAGTCACTTTCGTTTTTCAGTCCTCTGTTTGACACTGGTGTTGGATTTCAGTGGTCAGATATTAGATCTGGCACTGTATTATTTTTATTTTCAGAACTATAAGCACCGTGAAATCCAGTTGGCCATGATAGCTGGAGAAAAAAAAGGAATCTCCAAGCTTAGATGTAGGTCTGATGCATTTCCAACAGAGAAGCCCTCTGTTTCATTGTGGGAGGTTTGCTGCACCACAACCATGACTCAAATTAAGTAACAGCGACATTGGCGGGTAATGACTTTGTATTTATTAGCCAGTATAAAACCAACTCCATCAGCATGGTCACCTTTGAGGCAATGAAGGGACTCGAGGCGCCCAGACCTCCATTAAATCCAGGTCAGCCATGTTCAGACCTGCTAATATGGAACTGAACATTAGACCATTAAAACTGCAAAAATGATGAGGTAAACAGCAGGGTTGACTGTTGCCAGCAATAACATTCACATTATTGACTGGGAAATATTTAGTTGCACAAACATTTTATCTCAACAACATGCTGAGAGCCACTGAGCTCCTGAGACGGATGCGTGTCCAGGTGTTGGGTTTCATAATGAAGATGTCAGGGCCTGAATTTAATGGTTATTATAATATTTCATGTATTAACATTTACATTTATTTTAACCAGTTCTTATTGTATCATAAAAAGATCAAAAACTGATTTATTTTTAAATTAGATTTAAATAATCAGAGTCTTGCAAAGGTATTCACACCCCTCTGACATGTTCACATTTGTGGTTTATTACAATAACAAACATTAATGTGTCTTATTGGCATTTTATAAGACAGACCACCACAATGTGTCATGTAATTGCTAAACAGAAGGGGAACAATGCATGGTTTTGAATTCAGCCCCTTTTATACAGATGCCACCAAATAAAATCTACCGCAACCATCTACCTACTCATGTTGCCTGTATAGCTTGTGCCTGTGGATAAATATAGCTAATTGGTGAGTTTGCTAGAGAAGATTAAAGAAGTTTTTGGTTGTAGCATGACTAAATGTGAAAAAGTTGAGGTGTGTGAATACTTTGGCAAGTCACAGAAGGTGCTATTGATGCACCCCAATGCATTTTTAAGAGGGATAAACCCCTTTCCACCCCCAAAGCATTTTATTCCCCCTTGCATTTATGAAAATTCTTTAAGTATCCTCAAATACTCGTGGGTAACAAGGATTCACACAGTGGGCAGTTAGCGCCTCCGAGGCACAGATAGATAAGATTCACGGTAGAAGTTAGCCAATATCTCAGAACTGACAGGAACTTTTGCTAAGTGTGACTTTAGTAAACTCGTGCAGGTTTGAATAACATCAAGAAAGCCGAGGGAAGATTGGAGGGGTGGGGGGGGGACGCTGCTCTTTGATGTGCAGGATTGAGAAGTGATGAGGTCTGTTCAAAGTGAGCACAAAGTAGTGTTAAGATGGAAAGAGCAAATGCTGCTTTAGTCAAGGTAGACATGGTGAGTTGGAAGGAGATGATGAAGAAACGTCGTGTCTCCACCAAAACCAAAGGGAGATGAAACGTTATCGGGCACTAAATATAGATGCTGTCTCGTGTCTCGGATTTTGTGGATTTTTTTCTTAATCAAAGTTGGGCGAGGGTGGAAAGCCATCATCAAAATCGTCCATCCATCAGTGCATCCAACCATCTATCCATATTAAATTTCCGTTTTAGCATGAGTGCAGCACATAGGATGCCGGTTGCTTGTCTCCAATGGCCAGCATACGACACTTTGGGTGAATTTTGAACATGTGTTTAAATGTGTATACCAAGGCTCCCTATGGCAAATAGTTAATTACAGAAGCTCATTTTGCGTACGACTTTCAGCTCTTTATTTGTACATTTAAACTTTGGCTTCTGGACTAAAAAATTAAAGCCTGACAACTCTCAGCAAGCCTCATTAAATTCAACGACTTGCACTGCAATTACAGGACATCATTGTTAACCTCATTAATGAAAGAAATGGTGAGTGTGTTAAAAATAGATTACTTTTTATCAGTATGCTCAATTAAATAAAAAAAATGCTTTTATAGAAAGCATTATTGGCTTAATCATGTAATGGAGATGAGGATGGTGTGTGTTCAGGGTGACATGCAGACTCAGTTTCTAGTTAAATAGTTCTTGGTTAAATGAAAATAGGTTTTAAATCTAAATCTACCAGGGGTATAAACAATCTGTAGCTTAACTGAAGCCCTGAACATTAAAATGCAGCATCATCTGGTGAGAACATCTTCATGGCTTTCTTTCAACAAATCCTGTCACGACTCCAGAAAAGACCAGATTTGTAGATCAGACCTATAGACGTCTTGTTGACCGAGCTTCCCACCTGAGCTGCAGCTCCTCCAGAGTTACAGTCAGTTTATGTGGACTGCCACGCTCTTTCCATTTTGATGTAATGATTGATTAGATGGAGCTTTCCCTTCCTTGTTCTTTGTGATGCTTTTTGTTCGCCAATGTTCTCTAACAAACATTCATGACCTTCATAACACAGAGGGATTTATACTGAATTCAAATTATATGCATCTGAACTCTATATTTCAGTTTTGTTGCTTCTAAATGTAACTAGGATTTCATTCAGGGTATCAGAGTAAAGACAGTACAAAAACATGCAATTGGTTTAGATTTTTATTTGAATATATATGCATATAAACTATAGGCATGTCATATTCCCTAAAACACTCCAAAGTTTGTGACTATAATGAGACAAAATGTAAAAAAAAAAAAAAAGAAATTTATATATATATATAAATAAAGTTAGGAATACTTTTCTAAGGGACTAAACCTCTGTATTAATTTTTGTCAGAGTTGTTGCAACTTTTGTAACATTATTTGTGTTTGCTTTATAATTGGCACCTAGTGAATTAGTTTTTATGACAAGTCTGCTCTGATTGGTCTGTGCCGCAGAGTTTCGCCTCTGAATGCTTCCTCTGCAGCAGCACGAGAAACACCAACACATCCTGCTGTGCACCTGTTAGGAGAGATATAATTTTGAGTGATTTATACGTGTGGATCTTTGTAAAATTAAGCTGTTATTGAGTCATCTCATCAATGAAATTACGTGATTGCATTTTAGTGAATTTTAAAGCATTTCACTTGCTTTTTCAGTCACGCAGATTAAAAGAGTCGAGGGCAGATTGTGCTTACTGCTGCTGTCGTCATCGTTGGTATCGTGCCGGTGCTTCTTGTTGTTGTTGTTGTTGTTGTTGTTTAGCCTGCTTGGATGGCTGCCCTCATTTTCTCCCTCTGTTTCAGGTTCAGTGACGAAGCCGCAGCAGAGGACTTCTCGTCGTCGTGGCCAGCAGCCCAAGCTGCTCAACAGCCCTGAAGACAGCCTGTACTACAACCAGCTAAATGTGAGTTCAAAGTGCCGATAAAGGCCTTTGTCTGAGTTTGGTTCCAGATGATAATACAATTAAACCTACCTGTGCCAGACCCTGGAGCCCCACCCCCACGCTCCTCTGCCTCTTGTCTTGAGCATGTGCTTATGCTCTTTATCTGTTGCTTTCATGTCAGGATGTCTGCCTTCACGGTGAATAATTGATGTGGTTTATCAAAGCCGAGCAAGATGCATGCTTCATCAGACTCACTTGAGCCCTTTGATCAGAAAAAAAATTATGCTGTGACTTCTGATATTATCAGCATCTGCTCGCATTCAACACAAAATCACTTTGAATTAAAAATTAATGACTCTCTGCTCATCTTTTGACTGTGTGCTCTTGGCCCTTTCCTCAGAGAACTCTGGATCACCAGGGGAGCAAGAGGAAGCCGAGAAAACTTGGGTAAATAACTGCTTTCCTACTTACAGCGACTCTAAACAGAGCAGGCCCGTTGTGGGATCGGAAAATCCAGAAATGGAGTTGTTTTCTTACAATGTAAATGGAGAGCTGAAAATAACGCTTTTTTTTTGTTTGTTTGTTTTTTTATGGGAGGAAGCTCTGCATCACTATAGAGTTGGGGGGGGGGGAAGAGGTGCACATTAGGCTTTTGTCAGGATGTTCATTTTAATTGTTAAAGACCTGACTTTGCACTATAAATGACACAGTTTGAGTTAAACACCTGACTACACGCCTGCTGCGTCTGCAAATATTGCCTCTTTTTCTTCGGATCATGAAAAACTTCATCACTGCCCGCTCTATCCAAGTTTTTCACTCCTGTCTTCTCACACATCACAGTCAAATCAAAGTGCTGGACGGAGAGGATGAGTACTACAAATTACTGTCAACCGTGGAGTCGATCCCTGAGGAAGAGCACGCGACTGAACCCCCTCCCACCCTTTCCAACGGGCCCCTCGTCAGTCAGCGCTGAAGCTCTGTGTCAGTGTCAGCCGGTAAGAAAGATACATCAGACACAGAGACAGACAGACACTCCAAAGGAAAACCGCTCTGTGTTGGCCGCGCTTTGGTGGGAAGAACAAGTAGAACTGGTGCAGGAGAAGCAACTTGTGCAGACATTGTGCTCTGGTCTGTTAATCCAAAGGGCTCTGAGTTTGTATGAGTAGCTCACTTACCTTTTCTGGCATTATTGTACAGATGCACTGCTCTTGTACATTGTCTTTTGTTCTATTGGTAGATGGCTGCCCCATTTCCTATAAGAAAAAAAAATTCTGGTCAAATGAAAATATTTTACATATGTGCCAGGGGTATGAATAATTTTGTGTCTTACTGTTATTTTCTTTCTTTTTTTGTTTTTTCTTTATAATTCCTAGTCGTCTTAAGTTTTATTTAGTTTTTACCCAGATGGTCCACTTAGGAGTCTACAACAATAACAACTTGCAGGATTTCTCTTTTGTCTTTGGCAAAACACTACAAGCCATTCCTCCAGCTAGTGCTGGACTGTTTTGGTTGTATTTACCCAGAATGCCCTCCGCTATAGTACACTTCCTGCTTTTGGAGCGGTCTCCAGTCTGTTTGCATTCACATATGCATTCGAACCGCCCCAGAGTTCACTTTAACCAAAACGAAACCCAGGTTTTTAGACAGACCAGAGTTCACTTTTCTGATCTGCACCAGAGTTCAACTACATTTTCACACCTCTCAAAACAAAGCAGACTTTCTTGGCAAGTGAACTAGAGTTCTGGGCTGGTGTGAAGGCATCCTAAGTTGGCAAAACTGGCTCAGAAAGATTGACAGAGCATCTTCACTGTATTTAGCTTACAATTTCTACTTCAAGTCTCCTCCTCTTGCTTCCTGGATGAAGTTGTTTCCACATGTTATGAAGGACATTTTCTGTAAAACATTCTTCTTACGTCTTCTGTTCTCAATCTAGCTTCATTTTAAAAACTGATACTGACACTAATTTAAATCTTCTTCCCCCAGTAAACGCTTCTACTCAGAAAAGTGTTGCTAGCATGACCGGTTAGTGCTCAGTTTTTGTTCATGTTCATGGATCAAAAAATAAATCTGAGCAGGGAGTCACTGGTCAAGCTAACCATCAGCGACCAGCTGATTTCTCTGTACAGCTCTACATTACTGAGTTTTTTTTTTCTGTTACTACAAAGGTTGTGTCAACAAATAGCTTGACAATAGTGAGATTTACTCTTGCAAAGTTGTTCTTTGCCTTTATTTGCTTCCTGAACAAGATAAAATTGATTTACTTTTTATTAATAGATAAAATTCTGCCACATGTTCAAAGCTTTGCTCAGGTGGCAGATTGCTGTGAAACTTCACAGACGTTCCTTTATGATCATGTTAATCATAATAGACAGAAGGAAAACATCGTGTGGTGGTGTTGGAAGAGTGTACGACGTTAAAAATCAGTTGTAATAATAAAACACTCGCACTAGAGCCACATATGGCTGAAATTAACTCATAATGTCTTTGTTATTCGTTTACATTCTAATTACTTTTTTTTTTGATAGATTCATGAATATGTAACATTTGAGAAATAAATCCAAACATCTGAGGTACAAAAAATAAAATGAAAAAAAAAAAATACATCCTCCTCTGTGTGAGTAAAACCATTCCCTGAAACAGTTACACCATGTGGTTTACATCTTTAACAAACATTTTCCAGCTCTTTTCCACATTTCCGACGAGAAGCCCCTCATCCCGCAGCAAGCCTCCAGCCTAAGCAGTGTTAACATGAAATTGAAACATCTACCTATTTCCAAACCTCGTGTCTCCTGTCTCACACTGATCCAAAGACAAATCCCTGCAAAACCCAGAACTCTTTCGACGAGTTCTCCCTCTGCGAGTTGGCTTTAGTTAGAGGGGCTTTGTGCTGTCTGAGAGCAGAGAATCACCAAACGGAGCTTCACAGAGGCTGAGCTCGACCTCACTTTGAATTTCACCCTAAATACAGAAAAAAAACCTTTTAAGATGTGAAGTGTCGGAAATGCAGGGCTGGCGAGTTGATTTGTGGAGCTTTTTTTTTTTTTCTTTTCAATTTGCATATCATTTACTGCATCTTCCTTTGTTGACACCCGAGGGCCTGAGAAGAGATTTTGATCTTAATAGGAAGAGTAGGGTGGTATGAGTGAGGATCTCATCCTCCTTATGCTCAGCGGGAAAAACATTAGAGCTCTGCATTGATAGCGAGACTGGCTTCACTTAGGTTGGATTTACAGGAATCCTGGTGAGTTTAAAGAGGCCCAAAGAGTTCAGTGTTGGGAGGGTTGGATGCAGGTTGGTGCATGAGGACATTGCAGGATTTCTATATGTGTATTTAACTATATTTACCATGGGAACTAAAAGGTCTAATGGCGTGGAAGTAGTTAAAACGTACTGCAAGTTAAAATTAGGACGTTAGTCGGTTGTGACTCCACCAGTTTTGTGGTTGTGACCCTGTAATTTGCCAACCATAACTGTGCTGTTTGTTGTTTTGTGCGGCCGCAAATTTTTGTAAAGGGAACTTGCATAGCTTTCTACATCTCTTTTAAGAAGAAATAATTCCCCATATTAGTGTAGGAAGTGGGCATGAGCTAGTATGAGACTCTCACAGCATCATAACATTGAATGGAAATAACATGGCTTCACTGTGTTTGGAGGAAAAAAATGTAGAACTACAATGTGCAACATAATCCAATTATTTTTAATTAAAATGAAATTCATACTGTTTCCAAAACAATACATATATAAATACACAATACCATATGGAGCATTTTTGCAATGATCCTTTTGTTTTTACAAATAAAGGTTAAAAAATCTGTAATCGGTGTGAAACGTTGATCAGTGTCAGAGTCTGTAAAGGTCTGTGGTGTGGAATCATCCAGCCGGGTTTAGCTTTGTTGTATTCAAGTTGCCCAGAAATCCAGAGCTAATATAACATCTCATCTGATTTTAGAACGTTCTGTTTTCAAGCTGGAAAAGAGGTATTCATTTGTTTTAGTTCCAACTAATATCAGCAATTCACGACAATGGCATTATATTTGTTTCCAGTTTTCACATTTAAATGCAACAAGAACATGTTCTCAATTGCACATTTTATAGCACTGTTTATCCCATTGTTCAAAACAGATGCAAACTATCAAAAATGCTAATAAATAGTGAATAGCAGCAACTTTTATCTTAGTTTAATGTGTCCAGCTTCCCCTGACAGGAAGCAGATTTCAGGGTATTGTCTCATTGTTTTTCCGACTGAGAGCCTGAAAACTTCTTAAATTAACTTTTTAAAATAACACCTTAAACTGAATCCCGGTTAAGTGCATAACTGTTCAGTTTAGGTTTGATTAATGTAAGAATTTTAGATGTTGAAGTAAAAATGATCAATTACAATCCAGACTCCTTTTAAAAAAATGAAATAACTAACTTTAGCATGGCTAGCGGTTAGCCAGTCTAGGTATTATGTCGCTGTTCCTACGAATCGTTTGCATCTTGTCCCTTTTTATATTGAGTTCTTAAAATGTGTCCACACGGCGTATTTAACGAAACAAAGGCATCTTCAGTGTTTCTGTTGCTAAGTGTTGCTCAGGCAACACGATGTCTTTATTTGCTAGTTTTGTCAACGCAGCAGCTACATCCTGTCTAACTTCAGAATAAGAGCCTCAAACATATCGCAGTGTGTCTGCACCGATCTGCATAGACCATCTTAGACTTCACTAGATTAACTCACAACTAACAGCTTATGAATAAACACACACTTAAAGGATAAGAAATATTGTAGCATTTTAAAATTAGGACTCCATGAGAATTTCTCTTGTGTGGGAATCAAAAGTGCAAGTCAGCTGACAGTAGGAGTGTAGTAATGTGTGAAGGGCAGCGCTGCATGAGTCTTTGCTCCAAATTGGCAGATAAGTCTCCAGACTTTTTTCATCACCTTATTAAAATGACTTTAAATTACAGCAGCAATATGGTAAAAAATAATCTTAGCAAAGAATTGTGGTTGAACAGACATGTAAATCACATAATTTAGGGTAATAATAAAACTTTCTTTTTTATTTTATTAATTTACTGACCACAAATCTTAAACGATCCACTGCACTTCTCCAAATGAACAAAGTTAAATATCAGCTTTTGTTGAATAAATATCAAGAATTTAGTTGAAACTAGACAGAGACTAATTGAGACATTTTATTGGAATAATCATGAAAACCCCTCCATAATTGTAAGTACAGCGTAATAGACTACTAAAGAGATGTCTCACACATACCAAGACATTATTTAATGAATTTTACAAACATTAATGATCTGTAAATTGTCTTTTTTTTTTTTAATGTGAACCTGCATAATTAAACTCATGTCTTTGTGGCTTATCATCAAATTTAAGGCTGCAGGAATTCAAAGCGTAGTACAGCAGAATACTGTCAGAGTTATAATGTGGTGTCACAGTTAGTTCAGACGCATTTCACCTCCGGTCCTAACCAAGGATCGCAGAATAATTAAAATCCTCATTGTGCATTACTCTCTCGCTGGGATAGTTGGTTCCTCCGAAGAGCAGTCTGAAATAGGTCACCCCAGCACCCTGTAGTGCGTCATAAAAGTACACTGAATCAATTAAGTGATCATGCTCCCTTGATTATTTTGGCCCTGTTTTACCACAGAGAGGAATTTCAAATAGGCTCTCTAGTTTGAATAACAAGGTTGGACTGTGGTGACAAATGGTGCCAGAGAGGGTGTTTCTTTCCCCTGTTTTTCTCTGCCAAATTAACTCCCCTGGCTGATTGCCTGCTTTAGCATATGAGAGGAGGTGAGCAGAGGTGTGTGCATAATTGCCTCCGATGGCTGATTATGTGCTGCAAAAGGCAAATGTTATGAAATGCTGACCCGATGAGCAGAAGCTCCGGGTTGCCGTAGAGGTGTTGGAGGCTGCAGGACGCTGAGGGACGGCCAGCGTTTTAGGTCCCAGCACATGTGTTTCCTTGGGAACTTTCCTGCAAATCCAGCTCAGTCT